TGAGGTGGCCCTAATGAGCCAGTAGGCATGCTGCAGGGGATCAAGGGTGTTCAGTATACTGCTCTGGATGTGGACCAGCATCACTGTCTCAGAACACTTCATAATAATTGGGGTAATTGGGTTGTTCAGGCATTGCTCTTCTTGGGAAGGGGGACGATGGTTGTGGTCTTAAAGCAGGTGGGAACCATGCTCTTCGCTGAGGGAGAGGTTGAAGATGGTGATGAGAACATCAACCAGCTCACTGGCACATGCCCTGAGAGCCTTCCCAGGGATGTTGTCCGGTCCTGCTGCTTTGCGGGGGTTGATCTTCCTCAGGACTGTACATACCTGGCCTGGTGAGACAGTTAATGGAGGGGAGGTGGGGGGTTGGGTGGTGTGTGTGTGCCTCCTCTATGTGCTGTGGCTGGAGATCTCAAAGTGGGTGTAGAAGGTGTTGAGGTCATCCAGGAGGCTGTCTGTGGAGCTGATGATGCTGGTGGTGGTCCTGTAGTCTGTGATGTGCTGCAGGCCTTGCCACATTCGTCCGGAGTCAGCAGTAGAATAGAAGCCATTCAGCTTTTCTCTGTACTGCCTCTTGGCCGCAGTGATGGCCGCAGCTGTAAACACATCCCAGTCTATGTGGCCAAAACAGTCCTGCAGGGTGCATTCAGTCTCTGCTGTCCAGAGTTTAATTTGTTTGGTGACAGGGTTTGCTTGTTTCAGTTTTTTTCTGTAAGCTGGATACAAGAACAAAGAAATGTGGTCTGATCTTCCAAGGTGGGGTTGGGGTGCAGTCCTGTATGGACCATGTATGTTACTGTAAACATGATCCAGTGTGTTCTTGTCCTGGGTGGGAATGTTCACATGTTGGTAATATTTGGGAAGTACAGTCCGTAGATTGCACTGGTTAAAGTTGCCTGCAGCAATAAATATAGCGTCGGGGTGAGCCATCTCTAGCACGCTGATGACATCGTGGAGTTTGCTGAGAGCCGCCGAGGGATTAGCTCTTGGGCTAACGTACACAGCAGCCAGAAACACAGCACTATGCTCTCTTGCTAGATAATAGGGCCGGCATTTCAGCATGGGTCTGTAGCTGAATCATGGACCCTGGGACTTTGTCAGAAAGCCAAGTCTCGGTGAGAATTAGAGCACAGCATTCTCTTATTTCCCGTTGTGTTGTAATCCTAGCCCTTAGTTCGTCCAGTTTGTATTCCAGAGACTGTAAGTTAGCTAGAAAGAGGCTGGGTAGCAGCAGTCCAATAGCGCAAGCGTTTAGCCTAGCATGGAGCCCTTCTCTCTTGCCCCGTTTGCATCTCCATCTCCGGGTCGCTCTCCTGATTTCAGCCAGTTTGTCGTAATAACCTACTGGCACAAACAACGTACGCTGTTGTATTTTAAGACAGCTTCTGAGAGCAGAGCGGGAGAGGTTAGCTGCCCTGGAGAGGAGAGGTAGGAAAGCCGCCTGTTTGCTTGGTTTGTATAAGCTCCTAATATAAAGTGAATAAAAGTTGCAGCCCTGATAATGTATGTGGGCGCTTAGTGAAGTTCTGTGCACATGAATTAAGTCCTCTTTGCAGACACCATATGTGCCTAAGCTTTGGAAAGATGCAGTTGCTGTCCCTGTTCTTAAATCCAGCTGTCCTACAACTATGAATGATTTTAGACCAGTCGCTTTGACCTCAGTCTTAATGAAGACCTTTGAGAGACTGGTCAGATCGGAGGTCCTGAGGCAGACTGAACAGGTATTGGATCCTTTGCAGTTTGCATATAGGCCTCAGAGGAGTGGAGGATGCTACAATTACTCTGTTCAATATGCTCTATAGACACTTGGATTGAAGTGGGACGCATGCCAGGCTTTTATTTGTGGATTTTTCTTCTGCTTTTAATACAATTCAGCCTCACGTTTTAATTGATAGGCTCTTACAACAATTTAATGTGAGTAAAAATCTGGCGGGTTGGATTTAGGATTTTTTTAACTAAAACAAAGAGAGTCAGGGTCAGTATCTTGTCTGACCAAAGGGGTTCTTCTACTGGATCTCCCCAAGGGTGTGTGTTGTCACCATTACTCTTTATTCTCTGTACAAATATGTGTCAGAGTAGATGGGACAATAGAACCATCATAAAGTATGCTGATGATGCAGTTATTGTCAGTCTTCTTAGAGATGGTGAAAATAGCCACGGTTCAGTTGTTGATGATTTTGTAGGCTGGTGTGAGGACTCCTACCTGCAACTAAACATAATAAAAACCAAAGATATGCTTATTGATTTCAGGAGGAAACCTCAAAGGCAGGGAGTTACTTTAATTAAGGGGCAGACTATTGAGTCTGTGCAATCATATAAATACCTGGGGACAATCATTGATAATAAATTGAGTTTTGAAGAAAACTGTGAACGGGTGTGCAAAAAGGGTCAGCAACTACACTGTTTAAGGAAACTTGCACACTTTCATATTGACCGAACCTTAATGAATATGTTTTGAGCTTTTATTGAATCTATTTTATCATTTTCTTTGGTGTCATGGTGTAAGGACTGCTCGAACACAACAGTGAGCGAGTCACAAAAATAGACGGACCCAGGTGGCTGACTTCGGTGCAGACAGTGTAGTTTATTTACAGTGCTGTATAAGTGACAAGAAATGAACAGAGGAACAATGGAACCGGGTGTCGAGCATAGGAGTGTACACAGTCAATGATGGAGACGATGAGCAGAAGACCGGTCGGCGGACATTGGGACTCACTCCTGGACTGGTCGGGTTAGGTGCAACTGCAGATAAACATAAATAGTACATACGGTGAGTGGTAGACTGTGCATCGACCTGCGGGGTGGTGAAGAGCAGAGTGGAGGAGGTCCGTGGTCCGAAGGAGCGGCTGATGAAAAAAAAGGGAATGTAATCTAAGCAGCTGGAGAGAAGAGACACAAAACACTAAATACAGATTCAAAAGAACGATGGGGAACAAACGGGCCTGAGAAATGTTAGAAAGAACTGGCAAGGGAGTGAACGAAGAGCAGGGACTAAAATAGGGAGAAACTAATCAGGTGCAGCTGGTGACAAGCAGGTGTAGAGGATAGCGTAATCAGGTAAAGGGAGAGAAAACAGAGTGAGGGGAGTGAGAAAAGAGGTGCAACCAGGCAAACCTGACACATGGTTTGGTCAGATATTTCTAAGACAGAGGAAATCCTTAGATCGAGTAGTTAAGTGGTCTAGCCGGTTGCTAGGGGAGTCTCAGCCAAGGATGGCTACCCTGTACAGTAGACAGGTACAGAGGAAAGCTACTTCTGTTCTAAATGATGACTCCCATCCCATGCACTATTACTTTTTGCTTCTTCCCTCTGGCCGGAGGTTTGCAGTTCCGATTTGTAAAACGACACGGTACAAAACAGCATTGTTCCTGTTGCTGTTATAGACCTGAAGCTGCAGTAATATATTATATATAATAATTTTACATTTTTGTTTTAATTGAGGTCTTTTTTTATTATTTTATGTGCCGAATGGTGGAGTTCTGAGTATTTTTATTACGTTCAGTGTATGTGTTGGTGTTATGTTTGTGGTTTTTAGTGAATGTCATGTGATGTCATCTGATCTGATCTGACTGCAAAACAAATTTACCTAGGGGTATAAATAAAGTAACCTAACCTAACCTATTTTGTTTTCCATGTTAATTGATATAAATTATGTTCGGATCATTAAACAACTTTCTTACCAATTTTTGATCTCTGTGATTGAAGTTGAGTAGTGGGTCTATAGTTTTAGCTGGTCTATATGTGAATTAAATAAGGTGTGGGAGAGGAGATTTCATCTGCCTTGCAAAAATGAAACATGCATTGTGTGTGAAATATGACCAGTCTGCGACACATGGGGTGTCGGGTTGTGGGCCTTATGAGATCATCATGTCTTAAGCATGAGCATGACGCATGGTGGGCCTGTGAACATCAGTCACATGGTCAGTAACATCCAGAGACCAGGGATCATTGTAAATTAAATATAAAAAAAAATTCAAAACAGTGCTTTGGACAGATTTTGGATATTACTGATGGAGTACCCAGTAGTTTCAAGTAGTGCCACTCCAGTCCTGCTGCCGTTGTCTACAAAGTGATTGTGCAAACTGAGCTTTTTGATCCTAACTTAGATTAAGAACAAGTACAGGGAGTGACTGAGGGCTGTGGACCAGTAGCTTTGTCTATCTCTTTTCCATCTCTGCCAGAACACAGTGGTGTTGTGAGTGTCATTCCAGGCTCAGGTTTCTCATTGATAAGTAACATTTACCGCACCCTCTCTTTCAGTAATCACTATTTTTTGTGTATCTGTATGTCTGTAAGAGATGTTTGGGGGCTCAGGAATTGCTCCTAATATTGATGTTATCCCTTTGATCCAATACACCAAATCTTAGGTGAGGCAGCTTGGAGTGCTATTGGATGACACATTCAGGTTAAATAAACAGGTTAGCTCAGTTGTTAATAAGAAGAATCCTCTTTATTGTCACTGTAATGCGTACAACAAAATTTAGTTTGGAGCCGAGGGCCCTGGGCTGCTGCGTGTGTACGCACTGCCGTCATGGGTAACTTGGGGGTTCAATGACTTGCCCAAGGACACTTTGACATATGGACTGCAGGCACTGCGATTCAAACCTCCAACCTTCTAGTTGGGAGACGACTCCTCTACCAGCTGCACCAGTACCACTGTTGCCCAATTTAGTTAAAGTGAACTTCTTTCACTTGACAGTTTTATCCAAGTTGTTTACATCAACAGATCAATGACATAATCTACAAGACAATTACATATTGGAATTATACCACTAATTCATGATCATGTGACATCTACCTGTATCTGTATTTCTACTGTCCCCTAATGAAAGGGTTAAAATATAAATAGCATGTGTCTGACAATGCAGGTCACTTCAGAGAACAGCACGCTTGATACTATCTGAGGTGAGTTTGGTTATACAACAGTTCCCTTCAGTCAAGCATGTCATCTCTTATTAATATTGTGTTACCTTCTCTTTTTACATTGAGGGAAAGAAATAATGAATAATGCTGAAGAAAAACCTGCTGCCTTATCCAATGCCACATTTGTTCGTCCTGAAAAATTCTATATCAGTGGGTTTTCCAATGTCCCTCATGCTCAGTATTTCTATGCCTTCCTGTGCTTTGTCTATATAATGACTATTATTGGGAATGGCCTCCTCCTCTTAGTGATTTACCTGGACAAGACTCTTCATACTCCTAAATACATGATTGTGTTCAGCCTGGCTTTGATAGATTTGTGTTGGAGCACTGCTCTCATACCAAAAGTCTTGGACACGTTTTTATCTGACAATAGATACATTGTCTATGAGGCTTGTTTAAGTTATATGTTCTTTGTTTTATTATTTTCAAGTGTGCAGTCATGGATACTTATCATTATGGCATATGACAGATTTATAGCAATTTGCTTCCCTTTAAGGTACCACAGTATTGTGACTAAAAGAACGATTGCTGCAATGTTGCTGTGTGTGTGGGTTTTCTTTTTGAGCCTGAGAGTATGTGTTGTGGGGCTTCTTGACCGCCTCTCCTTTTGTGGTTCTGTAGTGATACAAAGTTTTTTCTGTGATCATGGACCAACATATCGTCTGGCCTGTAACGACAACTCAATAAATTCCATAATATCAAAAAGTACTATAGGTATAATTATCTGTCTTCCTATTATATTGATAGCACTGACATATATTTGCATTGCCATAGCACTGAGGAGGATTGCATCAGGAAAGGAACGAGTCAAAGCTTTTAAAACTTGCATTTCTCACTTGATTCTTGTTGCTATTTTTTTCCTACCACTCTTGAGCACAAACATAATTGTTCAGATCTCCTCCATTAGCACTAACACCAGGATCATAAACTCTACTTTGACACACACTATACCACCTTTGCTCAATCCTATTATTTATGCTTTAAGGACAGAAGAGGTGTTGAATGCTATCAGGAAACTTTGCAAGCCCATCAGGTTTGCAACGTAACCATGTCCAAAAAGGTGACCTCTGTCACTGCTGTATTGAAACATCCGTCCATTATCATCTGCTTTTCTGGGGTCGGGTCACGGTGGCAGCAGGTTCAGGTAGTCCAGACGTTCCTCTTTCCGATGCCTTGTTTCAGCTCCTCTGGCAGGATTCTAAGGTGTTCCAGGCCACGAGATACATAATCTCTCCAGCGTGTCTAGGTCTGCCCTGGGGTCTCCTATCAGTTGGACATCAAAACATTTACTGTTGTATTAATATGTTTGCTAAGAACATCTTTCTACATTTTTACTTGAAATTGTGGTTGTTTTGGTATTTTGTCATTTGTTGTATTTAACAGTTGCATTAGCTACTAAAATCAGAGCAGAGGTAGACTGTTTATAAAAAGCAGCCTAGGAATTTGATTGTCAAGCAGCTCCAAATTAAAATGAGAACTGCCACAAGTCAATCTATTAAATTAATCATCAATTTAAAAAAAAACACAATCGGCTAATTTTTGTAGTTTGTATTAGTCTAACATATGAATTGATGGAACTCATCTTCCAACTTTTTTCTCACCTTATTTGTTTGCACAAAATTAAGATTAATGTAGTAATTGCATTTAATTTGAAAGCTATAATTTATAAATGTCAAGTCTATATGTACTGTACATGTCCAGCTCTTTTAAGAGGTTTTGTGAAATATTTCAATTCTGCCTCTCCCTTCTCATCATCACCTTCTGAAGTTAACTGTAGCTATAAACATCAGCATTCATATTGTATTGATAGTATAGCACTGAGTAGGATTTCATCAGTAAAAGAATATCTGGAAATCAAAGTCCGACTCCCTATCTCCCACAGCTGTGGTGGGCTCTGTATCCAACTGTTCACTTTCACTGACTTCTGATTCTGCATCTGAACTTTCAAGATGACTGGTTTTTAAGTCAAAATGTTTATTGTCATATGAACAGTACGAAAACATGTTCCCTGTACAATGAAATTTTACTTTGCCATCCACATCACTGCCACACAATACAAATGAAATATAAAGTAGATGAATAAGTAACACAAAATCTAAAGGTTTTTAGTTGTATTACATCAGTAACTTGTAAAAACACAAATTATATTTATGCACCAGCTACTCTGAAACTGTAGTGTGCTGTGACACTGCCTGATGGCCACACACCAGTCTCCATAGAGGTCCCTGCAAAGACGATTTCTTCCAAACTTTCACTGCCTGCCTCACATTCGCCTGTTTGTAAAAATGCATAAACCAAATATATTTAGACTGATACGAGCATCAAATAATATGTTGTGTTCCTTAAAATTAAAATGAAAATCCAGATCTTAACATAACATTGTGTGGTGTATTATGCGACATACTTGGCATTATTGAGTGTAATGGCACATTTGGCTGGGTTTCCTGATTGCCACTCCTTCTATGGATCTTTAGTGATATTGAGCTTTTACTGTGAACATGGACCATGTACTGTATCTTTAAATTATATAATGGCACTTTTTGTCCGTTTCTTTATTGCTCTTATAGTGATAGCACTGACATATATTTGCATTGCTAAAGCAATGAGCAGGACTGCATCAAGAGAGGAATGACTTAGAGCTTTTAAAACTTGTACTTCTCAGCTAATTCTTCTTATTACCACTCTTGGGAAGCAACATAACTGTAGTGGCCCACATCCATCCTAATGTTAGGATTATAAACTCTTTGTTACATACCGTATCAGGACCGTATCACCTTTGTTCAGTCCCATAATTTACTGCTTATAGACAGAAAAGGTGTTGAACTCTATGAGGAAACTTTACAAAAACAATAGGCTTAGCAATAATAACTTTTTGAGTCTAATAGCATGCATGGTTGGGCTAATTGATCGTCTCTCTTTCTATGGATCTGTGGTGATACAGAGCTTTTACTGTGATCATGGGCCAACATTTCATCTGGCCTGTAATGACACCTCTTTAAATTACAAAATGGCAGTTTTTCTCTTTACTGTAATGTTGTGTTTCCTCCTGTATTACTAATACCACATTTGCTCAATCCACTTATATACTCTTTAAAGACAGAAGAGGTGTTGAACTCTATTAAGAAAATTTGCAAGAAAAATGAGATTAGCAGCATAAACCTTTCCAAAAAGTGACCTGTTTATCACTGTTGTATTGACACTTCATAATTGTTAATATCATACGTGTAGTTTGTAACTTTTACTATTAACGTCTTACTATCAAGTACTACAACTTTACTTGCAAAAAAAATATGGGGAATCAGTTTAAATTAGAATAAATGGCTCAATAAATCATCCTTTCTTTTAAATTTTTATAATATTAATTCTTCAAAATGGGAAGCCTTTCCTCTCTTTTAATGACTTTGAAAAAGTAAATCATGCTTTGATCAGTTATCGATTAGATTACTCTGACACGCTGTATGCAGGAGTTCATCAGTCATCACTTTGATGTCTTCATTTGGTCCAGAATGCTGCTGCTCATGTTCTAACAAACGCATTAAACCTGATCACGTAACACCCATTCTTGCCTCACTTCACTGGCTTCTGGTTTGGTTTAAAGTTGAGGTTAGTTTTTAAAGCTTTAAATGGTCGAATACTCCTCTACCTTACTGAGTTGTTACATCCCTGCCTTCCAGGAAGATCTCTGAGGTTTTCTAACCAGTTATTGATGAAAGTACCAAGATCTAGGCTAAAGCTTAGAGGTCTCCAATTGCAGGCCCCAAACTATGGAACAGCTTGCCATCAAATATTAAATCTGAAGGCTAATTTCTTCTTGTTGGTGTTTGATTCTGGGTAAAGGCTGATGAAGCTCCTGGCCTTGATTCTTTTATTTTTGTCTGGAAAAACTTGAAATGTATGATTTCTGTATTGAGATCATGCCCCTATAATAGCTTTACTATTTTATAAATTATGCTTTATAATTGGTACCATTTATTGTAATTTTGTCCTTTTTCTATACTGTGCCATTAATGAATAATTTGATGTCCTTGTGACAACAGTCCACAAAGTCATATGCATCAAAAACGCTGATGACATGATCTATGAGAGTTGCAGAATGAATTATAGCACAATCTATTTCATGATCATGTGACATAGCTACCTGCATTTATACTGTCTCACAATGACGGTGTAGCTCATTTTATGGAACTAAACACTTCATACTGTCTGTGGGGAGTTTGGTTACAACAGTTTCCATCATTTAACAGTGTCATCCTTTATTGTGTGGATGCTGTAAGCATCCACACTATGCTCTCCTGTTCTTTAGATTTTATTATTGTGTAAATGCTGTTGGACTAAACCAGTCCTGCATGTCCTTTTATGAAGAATGCTCAAAGACAAATCTGTCCTTTGAGATATTTATTACAATCAATATTTAAGAAAAATATTCAAGAAAAGCAATACAGAGCTCTGGATTCCATCTCTATCTGAAGCCCTATCACACAGAAGTATAGTGCATAGCTGCTGCAGGAAGCCGGAACCACGGGTTTCCTCTGCATAGAAAATTTATAATACAGTCAGGATGGTAGATCTGACGTCATACGCGTTGTCCTTCATCCTTGCTCCTTGGTTGGTTTGTTGACCTCGTTCTGACCCCTCATTTCGTGATCTTGTCGCCAGGCAGATTTTGATCTGTGACATCCTCAGAACACATCCTGACCTTTCACTAGACAGTTTTAGAGGAAGCACCTCGAGCGTTGCTATGCAACCGTGGTCTACTTCCTGTATGTGGTTTCCTGTTTACGTGGTGGCAATCCCCGAACCCGGTGGTGGACACCGGAAGTAAGGGATGCCGTCAAGCTGAAGAAGGAGTCCTTTCAAGCCTGGTTGGCTCGTGGGACTCCTGAGACAGCTGACAGGTACCAGCAGGCCAAGCGGTCTGCAGCCCAGGCAGTTGCGGAGGCAAAAACTCAGGTCTGGGAAGAGTTCGGTGAGGCCATGGAGAAGGACTATCGGTCGGCCTCAAAGAGATTCTGGCAAACCGTCCGGCGCCTCAGGAGGGGGAAGCAGTGCCCTGCCAAAACTGTTTACAGTGGAGGTGGGCAGCTGTTGACCTCAACTGGGGACATTGTCGGACGGTGGAAGGAATACTTCGAGGATCTCCTCAATCCCGGCGCCATGTCTTCCGATGAGGAAGCAGAGGCTGAGGGCTCAGAGGTGGACTCGTCCATCACCCAAGCTGAAGTCACTGAGGTAGTCAAGAAGCTTCTCAGACCCGATTCCTCTCAGACCTCTGACTTTGCATCCGCCATCAGAGTGGTCAGATCAGAATCCATGTGGTCGTTTTAACGTCTCCTCCTCTGCACATACGGCCTGTCGTCATCATTTGGTGTCTGTCCCTCACAGACCGATAACAATAAACATGGAGTAGAGTGATGACAGCAATGGGGTCAGTGGAGAGACCAGGATGTTTCACATGTGGTGGACGTTTATAGAGAAGCTTCTAATAAGGTCAAACTGGGAGGAACATATTGTAACCCAGCAGTTTGGGAGGAAACTCGGCCATTTGACCATCGCACACACAACCTGGTTGTTATTCTTGTGCACAAGTGGCTCAATTACATCTGTGACAGTTTAGGAGCTCAGCGGTGTTTACATCGGAGCTGGGTACATGGCGCTGACACACATGGACGGGAAGCAGCAACACAACAAGACCAGAGCTGAGTGTTAAGGCCTGTAGCATGAACACAGCCTCGGTTGTGAATCTATACAAGGTTTCATGCATCTGGCACGTGGTGCATCATGAGTCAGTTCTGTTGGTGCAGCCGATTATCACCACACAGGTCAATATGCTGATAGTGTGCAATCTGTTATCCACAGCTGGTCCCTGTGAGATAAAGTCTAAATATTCCAGGAAGGTTCGCCTGGGCCAATGGGGACTTCTCATCCCTTTCTCTACTGCTGGATCATTTCCTCTCCTCCCTGTTTCCCACCTGTTTCCTAACAGGAAGTAACTTCAGTTAAATATGGAGGGAGAGATAGGAATTTAAGACTGAAGTGGACACAGCAA